GTTAAATCTCATATTATTTGGGTTGAATCTCTGATTGTGGTGCCTCATTGTGGTGTTTCATAGTTTTCAACGCGGTGTCCCAAAGAAAGGCATCTATCTCATCTCGATATCCCCAATCTGACTGGATCTGGACTGATCTGGATTGATCAATGACTTTTGCGGAGGAGTTGAGCCAGAAATTCGGGCCAGACCAGCGTTTTACAACGAGATATAACGAGTACAGAGCAGCAGCCTGTCTTGGGGCATCACCACATTGGAGAGTCCACGGTTCCACCCGGTGCGGTTCCACTCCGGTTCGATCGGTTCTTGCGGTTCCACGCTTAACGGTTACTAAGCACATCTAAGCACCATGCGAGTTGTCATTTTTCGGGCAAATTGAGATAAGGCAAGCCCATCCATAGCCTGACGCATGTTCCGCATGTCGGCGTAGTCTTGGAGCTGAAGACTCCAAGATCTGCCGAAGATCGAGAGACGCCAATTGAGGCGTCGAATATCGGTCCCTTGGGTCATTTCGAGAAAATGACCACGACGCAAACAACGTGGGCTTTTGAAATCGTCTCACAGCACTAACGATCTGTCTAATTCGATGGCTGCAGTGGCTGAGTGGTAGGCCTGTCCGAGTCCTGCGCTGCCAAGCACGGGCCTCCGGGCCTCTCCTTTTCAGCTCGAGGCGAAGTGCGCCAAAGTGGAGGGCTTCACAGACCACGAACCGTACTATGCACAACGGTACCAGGCACAACATAGCATCAACGTAGTCCCCCATCTTGGCAAAACGCACTGCAAAGCAGTGTGGAACACATATAGACATGCGGTGACTCCATGCTGGACAGCTGAATGAGATGCAAAGCCATTGACATCTACTGACCATCTCTATCTCTATCTCTAAATATCTAAATATGTCACTGTCTGTATTTAAATAGCTCTATCGAATATCTATCTATCTATCTATCTAATCTAATCTAATCTAAATCTATATAATCTAATCTAATTTAATTTAATTTAATCTATATAATCTAATTCTAATCTATTCTAATCTATTCTAATCCAATCCAAGCCTATCTATCTATCATTATCTATCTATCATTATCTATCTATCATTATCTATCTATCATTATCTATCTATCCATCTATCTATTTGTCTATCTATCTGTGATAATGGAATATATATATAATAGTATATTTGATATGATATGACGTGATATGATGTGATATGCTGATATTATATGGTGTGATATGATGTGATATGATGTGAGACTGTATGATGTTAGACTGTATGATGTGAGATGTGATATGATGTGATCTGATGGAATATATGATATGATATGATGTGATATATGATGTGATATGATGTGATATATGATATGATATGATGTGAAAACCCGTGTTGTTCTTTTGAATGGACGCAAACCTCATCAGTTGACTTTTCTTCATGCAACTTGCATACGGCTCCAGGGAGTGGCCGTGACATGATCTTTCTGTATCTCAAGGTGCGTTTTGCTCAGTGAAAAGGACAAAAAGACGGCAGCGAAGCGCTGCATCGAACGTCAATATGGAGCTTTCCGTTTTGTCATGAGGGTACCCCCTTCCATCATCCATTTGTTCGGATTTTCCCTGAAATAAACCATCCAGCTATAGAAAAAAAGGGGTACCCCCATGACAAAACGGAACCCCCCATATCTGCTGAAGTTCAGCTCCCGACCTTTTGGATCCAAGGGAACTGGCTCGAATGCTTCAGGGTTTAGCACATTATGTACCCTCTGGCTATTTAACATAGCCATGGAAAGATCCACAATTTTTAATAGGTAAACCATCTATAGATGGACCATTTTCCATGGCTATGTTAAATAACCAGAGGGTATATCAACCAACCATCGTTTGCAGCTTCAAATTCCTATTTCAAATGATTAGATGTGGTTGTCTTAGTGGTTAAGCCTCCATTTTTCATGGTTAAGAGCTAAAGCAACAGCCACCATTCCTGGTTCCCTTGGGACCAAACATTCACCGACTCCGGTGGCGAAAGCCATGGTGCCGTAGTGGAGATGCTGCGCGCCTGTGCTGCACAGCTTCTATTGGCCACGCTGGCATTTCTGCTGCTGTATGTGATCACAGGCGCCCAGCCCTTTTTTTTTGTCCTTGATTGTTTCACGCTTGGGATTGTTTGATGGGATTCCGGAAACATGACATATCATGACATGAAAGTGTAAAAATTATTAAAAGATGGAATCTGACTTTATTTCTGGTGAAATGGATGGATGGTTGATTGTTTTTGCCTCCGCAGCCTCCGCTGTTCTTCCTCGGCAGGGCCAGAGGGATCCCCTGGGGGATCGCATTTTGCCTTGCTGGTTCTATACCTCGCAGCCCTGTGGGTCGGCAAGTTGATCCTTGGCTCGAAAATCGAAAAAGTTTGGACAAGTCAATCTCTCGAAAATCACCTTTTTTTTGATAGGTAAATCACCATCTTTGATAGGTAAGTTTGATAGGTAAATCAACCGGAAAATCACAATTTCTTGATACCTAAATCACAATTTTTGATAGGTAAATTACCGGAAAATCACCATTTTTGATACGAACATTACAATTTCTGATAAGTAATTCAACCGGACAAATCACCATTTTTGATAGGTAAATCACTCGAACATGGCAATTTTTTGATAGGACAACAAATCACAATTTTTCATAGGTAAATCACCGGAAAATCACAATTTTTGATGGGTAAATCACCATTTTTTCATAGGTAAACCATTGGAAAATGACAATTTTTGATAAGTAAATTACTGGAAAATATTGGAAAATCACCGTTGTTGATAGGTGAATCACCATTTCTGATAGGTAATTCAACCGGACAAATCACCATTTTATGATTGGCAAATCATTTTTTTAATCATCAAATGGGGCATGGCTTCCATAGCAAACTGTGAAATATCCGGAGGCGCCATGGTTTTTGTTTGATGTTTTTTTTTTTTCTATCTCAAAGAATAGGATTTTCCGATCATTATCCCTTGAAGGATGGGAAATTTGAAACACACCATGCGGATTCCGGTGCCATGAGGACAGCACCCTTCAAGAAGCTTCCTCCATTGCTGCCCATGTCTCTTGGATCCCTTGGACCTGGATAGGATAGGACTACCAGCTGGAGTCAAATTAAGTCAACAGATCATAACCATGATAATTGTTGTTTCTGGGATATGATTTTTATGATTTCTATGATTTCTATGATTTCTATGATTTCTATGTATCTATCTATCTATCTATCTATCTGTCAAAGGGAACTAAACGCTAGGACACTTATCATGTACATATGTGATTGTGCATTGAAACGCCGTACTGGCTCAAGTCCCTGCGCGAGGAAAAGTCCGAGCTCCGCTTGCAATGCCGTAACGCTGTCCAAAGCTACCAGCATAACGGGTATCACAGCTCAATAACTACATCCAGAACAAGGATCCATTTGTTCACAGGTTATCAGCCGTAGGGCTCACTTCCCCCGCCGGGAGAGTGGTACCTGCGTGCTGGTAGCCGGGCCGTCTGAGCAATTGATTGAGGACGCAAAGGACCAATCAGCTCATCATCGCAAAGATGCAAGGCGGCAGCGGAGATTCGCGCACCACGCAGTTTACCTTCAATGAGAACGCTGCTATGCCGGTCGAGGAGGTCAATCAATCTTCCCCTGGCGACACGGCAGACAGTGGCGGGATACGCCCTACCCGAACTACACAGTCCGGATGGCAAGTCACATCAAACAGACGAAGAATATCCACCCAAAGTACACCTAGATCTTCTCGAAACAGTGCTCGGAGTGATGTTGTCCGCCAAGGGCATCGACCATCTCGAGGACGTACTACTCCAAGGGACAGATCCACCAGGGCCGTGACCGACCGAATTGGTGAGAGGACCGGGGATAGTCGTGTTAAGAGGAGATCAACGGATACTTCTGTGGCTAGTGAACCTATTGCCATGATAGAGGAACTACGGGCACAATGTCAATCCCTACGTAATCAGCTGAACAACATGGAAGCATATGCTGCATCCAGGGATCAACTGATTCATGACATCGAGATCAGATTCACTGAGTATCTTCGGGAACACAATCAGAATGTATTTGATGAGGTCAATGCACTCAATCATAGATTGTCATGTTCCGCAAATGAGGTTGCAGAATATCAAGCAGAACTAATGGTAGCATCTCAGGAAGATGAAGGTGCAACAATACGCATCTAAGACCTTGAACGCCGAGGTGCCCTAATGGAACATGGTGCACGACGGATCCATCAACGTGGTATGGAGATCCAGGAGGAGTACAAGGATGAAGTACATCACCTTCAAGGACTACTGGGTAATACGGAGGCAAGACTACAACAACTTCATCAAACCAATGTCTTAACCACCGATATTGCCAATCGACTATACAATGAAGGTCAAGAAATGCAAAATGATTTCCAGAACTCAATCATGGAATATCGTAATCGATCTGAAATGGCATCCTTCTCTAGTAATCAACTTGAAGTGATTAGCCAACAACAATCAATTGCAGTTCATGAATTATCTGAGCGAAATCAGCTATTGAGTGAAGCTTTGGTTCAGTCTCGTAAACAGGCCGAGCTGTATGAGAGCAGTATAGATGAGATCACTAGAGAATCTAGGAAGAAGGTGTTCGAGGCAAATCAGGCCAAATTGGAAAGTGATCTGAAGCATCGAAACACTGAACATGATACCGTCAGAAGAATTGCATCATACAGGAACCAAGAGGCCGAAGCAATATCTCACCTGAGGCTTGAATCACAGGCTAGTGCAAACTCGATCGCAAGGGCAGAGCACTATGAGGAGCTCTATGCCAACGAGCAGAAGATGAACTGCGAATTGAAGGATGAGGTCAAGTTGCAGAACACGAAGTTACGAAGATCGTTGACTCAGGGTTCTACGACCGACGGTCGTGGCCCCGAAGAGATGCTTGTTGAAGATCTACGTAATCAAGCTAAGATCGCTCAAATCAGGGTTCAGGATCTAGATCATGAAGTTCATGAATGTTTACAAGAGAACTTGTTGTTAAAAGAAAGGTTGGCTGAAGTTGCGGATGTAGGGGCGTCGTCCCTCACCAATGCTGAGGTCCGAACTCTAAGATCTGAACTAGAGAGTGAGCGAAAACTGAAATTGGCGAGTGGTGTTCAACAATATGAGAGATCATGCATGTTCATGGGGGAAATCCAGGATAGGGATGAAAAGATTGGCATCAAGAATTCTGAGATTGTTGACATGAAACGTCACTTAGATGAACTGAGAAAAAGTCTCAAGGATTCTGAAACATCTATGGCTAGGATCAGTCCTCACGCACTTCCCTATTCGGCAGGCATTCCCAACTCTGATCTCGCATCCAGACTGGTCATCGACAAACTGGAGAATGACGTGAGTGAGGCTAACTGTGAAAACGCTATTCTGAAATCTTGGGTTTTGCAGATCGACAAGGAGTTGACTTATGAGACAAATGTGGCTCATTCCTATCGTGGGCATGCTGTACCTCCTCAACAACAACAGCATTCTCAATCAAGCAAAAGAATCGCTGATCTGCTGAAAGAGGTTGACAACAAGATCGCTGGCGGAACTGAGAGGGACTATTACAAGCCACCGAGTGGATGGGGCGGTCCGCCTGACCCTGATGGACCTCCGGACCCTTTCGGGCCCAACGGTCCAGGACCACCTCCTGAACCTCCTGGTTTGCCTTCAGTTCGAGGATCACAACGCGATTCAGCAGATGATGTCTCCACAGCGGCTTACACTGCGGAAGAAGTACCGAGAATGTCAAGACGAGAGGCTGACAAAGTCTATGTTAGCCCATGGCCAAAGCAACAGAATCTTGGGGTTTGGCAATCAGATCTCATCAAGAGTGTTGTTCTTTCGGCAAATGACGGGGATAAAGCCGCATTGGAAGCATGGCTACAGCCGGCTATTCGACCAAATCCTGACATCGAGCTGTTGAATGACAGTGAGGGGCAACGGTATCAGTCCATCGACGCCAAGTTGTCAATTGCATTGTCAAACGTGATAGCCCAAGCCGGTGATGTTGCTCGTCATGTAGCGATCAAATTGAGATTGAGAACACAAAGTCATAGCCGAAGAGGAACCTATGTCATGGGACGGGAAATCTTGGCTATGATTCTGGAGCACTTCAGAACCCAAGGTCAACGAGAAACATCCTTCACCATGGAACACATCGTATCGATGAAGTATCTCGGTGACTCGAACCTAGAAGTGTTCTACGAGAAATGGATGGAGATGGTATCAAACATGATGCCGGATGACGTACCTCCTGATGATTGGCTTCGTGACGCTCTATACAAAAAGATTCGAAATTCGAGTCTCATGATGGTCGACATCAAGCAGTACGAGTCATGGATGGAAGGAGACCAAAGACGAAATTATCGCTACCTGTTGGATGTCATCGAAAGGCACATCTCCAGAATCAGAGAGGACAAGCATGTGGCAGCCAGAGAGAAGTATGTGAGAGACTTTGCAGGCGGCGGCAAACCTTCAGCTCCTGCTCCGAACCCAACTGCCGCTGCACCGGATGCAAATCCAAAAGCGAAGCCTAAAGCTACTCCCAAGGAGAAGGCAGCGCCCAAGGCGAAGGCCAAGGCCGATGCAGCTCCAGTTCTACCATCACCTCAGCCTAAACAGCATGCGAAAGGAAAAGGAAAAGGTCAAGGGAAAGGGAAGGATCGAGCAAACAGCCGAAGTACCAGCCCCAGATCCAAGAAGAAGATCCCATGCCATTTCCATTTCATCAAGAAAGCATGCAGAAAAGGCAAGGATTGTGAATACAGTCACGACCAAAAGGTATTTGATGCGAACAAGAATGCAAAAGGCAACGGTCGGAAGCCAGGAACTCCAAGAAGTCAATCTCCGGCAAACAAGACCAAGAAGATTGATGAACCATGCTGGCATTGGGCCAAGGGCAAGTGTCGGTATGGAGACAAATGCAACAAACGCCACGATCCTCATCTATTTAACACTGCTTCCAACACCGAAGCACCAAGCTCAAAGGCTACTCCTGCACTTGTCCATGATTGGAGCGATGATGAAGAGATGTTCCATAAGATTGCATCGAACGTGGTCAAGAAGAGGGTCAGATTTGATGAGTCTAAGACTCACGTTCAAACTTACGTAAAGAAGGACTTCGTGAAGTGCAATCGGAAATCTCAGACTGTCTCCAAAGGGCATGGCAAAGTTGGAAAGCCCACTGATCAGATAAGGAAAGATGAGCAATGGTCTTATTCATGCAGGTTAGCTTCGAGCCGAGGGAAAGCAATGGCTATTCTGATCGATGAGAAGGGTGAACACAGTGACATTGATGAAGTCCTGGTCATAGTCGGCCCTAGCATGGACATCCTGATCAGACTCGACGTCGAGGACGGTGAGGTGTCCAGGGAAGTATTTGTGGAAAACTATGTTCAGCATATTGAAGGTCGAGATGGTAAAAGGGGCAACACAATGTGTATCACTGTTCCTGTTGAAGAGAGAGATAAGAGATTCATATTGGATTCTGGAAGTGGCCATGATCTCATTTCATCCACACGAATAAGTAGAATGGATCTCCCAACATACGATGACAAGGTCGTCAACTTCCATACAGCAAATGGGGTAACGTGTTCGACCAAACGTTCAAGCATCAAGTTCGAGGCATTTAGGGAACCAGCAGAAGCTCACATCTTGGAGGACACACCCTCCGTGCTCTCCATGGGGAAGCGATGCGTTGATCTTGGTTACTCTTTTGTATGGCCGACCGGAAGAACTCCATTCATGTTGGATCCAAATGGCAACTTCATCGAGATGACTGTTAAAGACTATATTCCCTATGTGAGCGTCGATCAAGAAAAGATCAAGTTGAAATCATCTTGTGTGGAGAAGATCATGGCAGTTCTTGATGATGGATGCTCAACATCGGAAGGTGAAGGTCTTTTGGTCATTGATGGAGAAAGTGGGGATGAACTTGAAGATCTTTCCGACTCCGTTGGACGATCCAATGTTAAATCACCCAAGAGATCAATGAAGAAACGTAAGAAAGCTAAGGCAAGAGATGATCAACATGAAGTGGCTGTT